TTGTGATTTAATTAATTTAAATCTACTATACATACATAGAAAAAAGTAAAGTACATATATTGAAACATAAAAATAGTTAGATTTTGGTAAGATTATACATACTTATTGTTTCTAAATATTTTTCAATGATCCTGTATTTCTCTTCAAATTTCAGTAATCCCTCCTATGTGATATCGATAGCAAAATAATTAACACACACCTAGTGCAAAGGACAGGAAGAAAAAGCAGAAAAAAGTGGGAACCCGCAGTGAATACTAAAAATGAACAATTTATTTATTCAAGTATTTACTGAGTTCCTGGGTGAGTCTGCACTGCTGTTAGAGTTTGGTATACATCAAAGAACAAAAGGGATAAAAGTCCTATTTTTATATAGCTTGAATAGTGGTGGGAACCAATTACAAATCATTAGAAAGACAAACAAATTTGTAAATATAGGACTAGAAAAATTATCCAAGAGGACATGCTGGTCAATTGGGTCTGCCAACACAAGAGAAGTCCTAAAAATAGAAAAAAAAAAAAAAAAAGCAAGGAAAAAAAAGTCTAGAAGGAGTATTGAGTCCCTTTTGAGAAAGATTTTGGTGTTGATGTTGAAAGCATTTTCAAAAAGAGTTTGAATTTAGCCAAAAGAAAATGATCATAAGGAGTATAGAGGATGCCTTTTAGAGTTTGAAGTCACGAAGGAAATAAAGACAGGATCTTTACCTGTAAGAGACAGTGGCTTCAAAGTGTGGTTCATTGTTCTTATTGTGTTGCTGAAATAATGAAATGAATTAAATATCAAGAGTGCAGTTTGTGCCTACATTTAAAACAAAATTCATGAATTACAGGTTGTTTTCTAGTATAAAAAACATGGTAAATAAGTTATTATGTGTTTATTGGAATTAATTTGATCATCCTGTATAGCTTTTTATTTTTTAAGATCTCAATTCATTACTAGTCTCAGTTTGAAGTCCTTTTTTGATTCTCCTGTCCTCCCTTGCTCCAATCTGTTAGGAATCTAATTTTATGCTATGTTAATATATTAGCCCCTTCCACATTCTACTTCAACTATAGATTTCCTTATCCTGTTTATCTAGAAGATACTCAAGAGCAATGATGATACCTTTTTATTTTCTGAATCTACGACTCTGACCTCTGTGCTTACTACACACAAGACCCTCAATAGAAAATTGTTCAGGAATAAAATCATTGGTGTAAAGATTAGAATGAAACAAAACTGGATTTGCAGTTTTTATTCTAAAGGTTATTCATGAGACTGTAATGATAAAGTTCCCAAGATAGTAAACATTTTGCAAGGTGAAATAACATACTCCAAATTGGATCCACAAGGGAAACAGGAAATCTTGACTCCAACTCTAAAATCACACAATTACAAAACTGTTTTGCTCTAGAATGTCAAAATTATCTCTCTTTTAAAACATAATTTCTCCAGCCGGACACAGTGATGCATGCCTGCAATCCAAGTGGCTCTCAAGGCTGAGTCAGAAAGATCATGAGGTCAAGTGAGGCCCTAAGCAACTCAGTGAAACCCTGTCTCTAAAAAAAACACAAAATAGGGCTGTGGATAGGGCTCAGTGGTAGAGTGCCTTTGGGTTCAATCCCCCATACCAAAAAAAAAAAAAAGTAATATCTCCAGACACTGTATGGTACTAATGCAAACAGTTTAACAGTTTGATTTCATTATAGTTTAAGTGTTGTATTGTCCAGTTCATGTATTTCAGGAATTCCCTGATAGTCCTATAGTAACTGAACTTTCTTCTCCTGTAGATGAGAAGAGTATGATAAATAAGTAAGTAAATACATGTGTCACAAACACAATGGAGGAAAATAATTATCAAATATGGAAGTTAGAGAACACTAAAAAGTAAATACCCGAAGCCCTTCTATGTCACATGTATGTTGGACTGTGGTGGCTTGTCACCACAGCTATGTATTTGCTCGTGTAAGATCATACCACGCAGACAACATTATGTCCATTTATCCTTCCTTAACTCTTTAAAGGTTCAATCCAAGGATATCATGATTGAAATTTCCAGTGTGTCTTCCAGTGTGTGCTGATGTTCCCTGTGTTTCAACTATTTCCATATTCTTGTGTGTATATTCAGTCCAACATGATACCTAGCAAAAAGTATTAGTTTTGTAAAATTTAGAAGGAAGAAATGCTCAGATAATACTATCACACAGGAGACTTTGAAAAAGAGTGGGAATAATGAAGAAAGAAGAAAGGTACTATCAAAGACCCCCATAAATCATTAGGAAAAATAGAGGAGATGGTTTGTTAAAAACTTACGTTTTCAGCTAGATATCAGGTAAATCAGACCGTACTTAAAACATAAAGTAAAGTGTAAACCTAGCCTACTAGAAAGGGTAAAAAGTGATTCTGGTTGTAAATAAGGCATTCTGGTTCCAATAAACTCTACAGACATTATAGTAAAAATATGATAAGAGGAATTTAAGTAGGAATTAAAACAGAGAGAGAATTGATTATGACATGATTATAGAGGTCTAAAAATTTGAGGAACTAGATCTTATAAGGGCATATAGATAAACTTCATAATGTTACAGACGAAAATAAATATAAGGAAGTGGTTGTTAAGCACAGACCACCTCACCAGAAAGAAGATATGGATAATGCTGTTGCATTATATATTTCATCATAATCTTAGCTCCACTGTTGACTTTTCACATATTTCAATCATATAATGTGAAAATGAACTTCTTAACTGTGGGAGCCAGCTCTTACATAACTTTGAACCCCTGTTGTTTAGCACAGAGCCTATTATAATAATTCTATTATAATGCTTGTTTGGTGCTTTCCTTGCTAAATAAATGATTGAATGAATAATGCCTAAATATATGGCTGTTTCTGTACACACTATGACAATTCAGGATATCAAAAAGAGAGCATGTGGTGAAGTTTGACCAAGTTTTGGAGAAATTTTCCCTCTCAAACTTTTAAGGAAGAATGAAAATAATTCCAGTTCCATCTTAATTCCAAATAAAGTCAAAACTATGGTGTGCAAAGCACATGTCAAATCATTTTACTTGTATTAACTTGATTCCCATATCGACTCCCCCCAAACAGACATTATTCTCAATGAGAAAAAAAAGTAACTGAGCATAAGGGAAATTAAATAAATTGCCCAAAGTAACACAGTTTGTAAACACAGAGCTGGATATGAATGGGATCCTGGTTGACTGCACAGCCAGTGCCCTTTCCACTTTGCTGTTTTCTCTTCTACTGAAAAATGGGGGAAGTGATATTAGAAAACATAGTGAGGTGGGATATTACTAACTGAGAAGTTGAAACAACCATGGAAAGGAACACTGAGTGTAGTTTAACCTGTACTTCAGAGAAAATTTAAATGCCAAAGGAAAAATGAGACTTGATTCCATGGCTATTCATTTCAAAATGGCTCCAGTGGTATAAAACACTCAGAAACAAGAAATTGATAAGGAAACCACTGAACTGCCTTCTTCAAAGTTATTGGTACTGTCATTTACTAGATAACAGTATGATCTTAGGGACATGACTTTTCTGTACCTCATATCCCTAATTGATGATAACAGCAATATTTTTTTCTTATATGTCAATTGAAGGATTACATGAGATGTAATGAAAAGGAATGTGTTTAAAATAGTAGTTGGCACACAGTAGGCATTCAACAGAGGGTATCTTTCATATTAAGAGTGAAGAAATGCAAGTAATCAAATGATTTCATCATAAAAAGTACAGGATCAGACAAGTAGCAGCAGAGAGAAGGGAGCAAGTCAAATTGTATGGGACAAAGGTCAATGGGACCAATGAGACCAGAAGTCCATTTTTGGGGAGTGGGCAGGGGGAGGATTGATATAACTTTCAAAATTTCTCAAGAATAAAATGGACCTGGAAAAGTACAATTTGGCTTGGTCTGAGAGGCATGAGTGGTATGATCTGTGTGACCAGAGGCCTTTCAGAGAATAAAAATGTCAACAATGAAAATTAGCTTAAAGCCTGGAAAAAGCTGAATAAAATTTATGAATTGAATAAAATAAAAATAAGTGTAAAGGTCTTAACGTGGGATCCAAAATTCAAAATAATATGGAAAATTATGTCATCATCTTGAAGAAATATTTTATTAATTATTAAAACTTACATTTTTAATTTCTCTATATCCTTACCACATCTAACATTATATTGTATATTTATTTTCTTCTTTGTCTCCATGTTCATGACCACTCTTCTCAAATATCATAATTAAACAAATTATGCAATCTTTTATATATTTTATCTTTTATAGAAATTCCAAAATGATTGCTACAATAAAAGTTATTATCACTGTATCTTTAGTAAAATGGTGATCAAAGTGTCCAAGAAATTTTATTCTATTAAGTTCAATACACACTTATTGACCTTTATTATACTGTATGAAGATCATCTCATCCCTGTCTTAAAAGACCATTTGGCCAAACTGGGTGGACTTAGATTAAACAGGCATATTGCAATAAATATTTTTAAAAATACACATAGGACTTGGATATGCCATTATTTTCAGTGTATAATTTTTAACAAAATTTATAATGAATTCTTGGAAACATTAATTTTAATACTAATAATTGTGTAGAGTTCCTTGTGGTTAGACAAAAGCACTGCAGAACAGTAGAACAAATCACAAAGGGTTATGTTGCTGTTTTCTTTTTTTTTTTTCCTTAACTTCAACTCCAAATGAAAACAATTATATTTGAAACATGCATTTAAGAAATGGGTGAATCATAAGGTCAAATTATCTTTAAAATAGAATCAAATGACAATTGAAATCTCTTATGAAAGACATTTGGCTTAGGAAAATTGTTTTCTTTTACTTGAGACTCAGCATTTATACATTTGCTGTTTTAAAATTACTTCTAAAGATTATCTTGGTATTATAATGGAATTGTTGTGCAAATACAGCTTAATACATAAAATGAGAGCTATTACAGTGTCCCTTATGGTTCCATCACGATCCATAAAAAGTTCATACCATCCGCGCAGGTCTCTCCACAGTCTGCCCTCTGGTGCCCCAGGCCTGTGCTGCCACACCACATTCTCTAGCTCATCATCCCTGAAATAAAAAGCAAATTCTGAGCTTAAAAGGACACTTGATAGATGCAGCCTAAATTCAATTTCAGAAAATGTTATCAAAGACTGATTTTGAAAACAGGCTTTCTTCCATTAAACAAAAACAGTAGAAAGAAAATAACTATCTTAACATGCCAGTTGGGCATAGTTATAAATATCAGGAAAAAGACACAATATGGAGGTAATATTTTCAATATACCACAGATGTCATTCTGCAAGTATTATAAATGATTTTAGAATTTCAAAATATCAGAGTTTCCATTAGAAAAATTACCTACAGAATAAATGTCCTTAGTAATGAAAGCAGTTATGATTATTTCACCTATTTCTTCTTAGGGGAAAACAAATAAACAAACAAAAATAAACAAGCTATTACCAGATAATTCTCTCCTAATAAATGTTTTGAAAAGTTAGGAAGAGATTTAAATTAATTGTACTTACTGACTCTATGCTATATGCAAAATTTCCTCTTTTGAGTATCAGGGGGCAAAATTCTTACTCAGAAAAATTTGAAAGGAGGAAAAGCATATATTGAAACTCTTAAATTACAGTTTATAGAGTTCATAAATTACATGATAAAAATTTATTAATTAAAACAAGATGCCAGACTTTATAAAAGAAATAGTTGTACTACAAATTAAAATTTTAAATATGATAGTTCCATGGTCTTTTTTAAAAACCAAAATGAGAAAGGGGCTACTTAACTTCATTAATTGTAATCCATTCAAAAAGATAACTACATTCAGAATCCACTAGTTGAATATGAGATGATAGCTAGCATTTTATGGTATTAATGGTTTATAATAAATATGTTTTCCATATGCAACATAATTTATATGAATAACACTAAGCAAAATGAATAGCAAAGTATTTTTGACTTCTATAGAATAGTTAGTGTTCTTTTTAAAAAAATAGCACTGAAGAACACACAAATATGAAAATTTCACATTAAAGTAGCATGAATTCATTTGTTCAGGAGAAAGTAGAGTTACAGCTGATTTTAATGATGAGCTTTAGTGCATTGCTTGCACAACAGCACATGTCTTTGATAATATCAAACTCAGAGATAAATCATTTTAAACAGCAAAGGCAGCAATTATAAAAGGATGTCAGGTTACAAAAACGGAACAATTAGACAAAAATTTTAGGAGGGCATGATTTCAGTGTAGTTATGTTTTTTTTTTTTTTTCTATTTCTGTTATAACTTTTTTATAGTAAAATATTTTAATCTCTCTCTGGTCTCCTTAGTATAACTAAATCATCCTACCAGATATGCAAAATAAAGCCACCCTAGTCATTTTGAAATTGTGAAAAAGAAGGAGGTAATAATGTGTTATGTTCAACTCTACTGCTCCAATTCATTTCAATGAGAATCAGTCAATAAAAAGTCCCTGTTTCAGCAAAGGCGGGAGAAGAAACAAAAGGACTTAATGAAATGATCTGTTTACAAAATGCTAAGTGAGGGTTCTATGAGAAAACAGATTAAATCCCATTTTGGTTTCCTACTGCAATTTAGGAAGTCTCATATGCTCCCAGTTTTTGCTTGTCATTTTTTTTTTCTTTTTTGGTAAATGGACTGAGACATGTGGTCTTTTTTTTTTTTTCTTCTTGTCTTAATGTTAACTTTTTTTTTAAAGCTATTTAACTTTCTTTCTTTTCAACTTTGCTACAGTATTTCTAACTAGACCAGAAGAGATAAATCAGTGCCTGAACTGTAACCTTACACTTACATACTTGTTAAATGACTTTTTTACAGTCTGTTATTGCTAGAAATTGGATTGCTTTTAAACTAATGCTGTCTGGCAGGCAAAAGTGAGTGAAACCGCAAAGCCTGGAGGAACACTAATTACTTGTTTTAATTAGCAGCAACTTTCACTAGAGTATAATCTCCCTACAGGCCACTTTTCCGTAGGTGTGGAAAAAAATCTTGTAGGAACAAACTGATAATCTCTTACTTGCCCCTAAATGAGAGCAGAACTCTGATTCTAGTGTAGACATATCATTCTGAACAAGCCTCTAAACCCTCAGGGAACAGGGCCTACTAGGCTAGGCTACCCAATTCAAAGATCTTTAGCAATCAGTTACACAATAGAGCCCCTTATTTTATGCTGCTACATTATAAAAGTGGTCCTTTTGTTACATTTCCATCCTTAAAAGGGTCTTAATCCCTTTCTTTTCAGACCAGTCTATGGCAAATTCCACTGGGACATCCCATTCGCCACAAGGACTGAAATGACCTACTCCGAAAGCAGCATGTGAAGCTTTGAGCCTTTTCTCCCCCTGCCACTCTCCAGAGAACATTAAATCGTACTTTTCATTCCCCTCACCATAGGGGGAACCCCCTTAATGATGACAGAGAAAGAAAAATTCCACCACACTGTCCTATGATACCATTCTGCTGTCAAGCAGGCGTTTCCCTGGTCAGAGAATCAAACATGGCTTCCAGCAGGTGGATGTTGCTGAAGGTCACAGACAGCAAAATGCAGGGGTTACACATGGAGGAAGCGCAGGTTCCCACAGCAAATTAAGTCATCTGTGAAGCTTTCTCATTTCCCAGAGCCTAAATTTATGACTACTTTTAAGGGTCATTCTTGTTTCCAGGCACATGGGCTTTATTGAAAGTATTCAAAATTTTGGAAGAGCAGTGTTATCCCAATTGAAAGCACATATATGAGCCACGTGTTTAATAGAAAAAGGTGAAATTTTCAAATGTGTTTATGTAATTCTTTTATTACTGATTAAAGAGATAAATTCTTGAGTAAGTAAAAATTTCAAAAACAAAAGCTAAGTAATAGATTGAACATGGGCATATTTGAAAAGTCAAGGTGGAGGTATGGGAAATAATAAAATTTTTTTTGATATGAGAAAATTATTCTAACTTTTATATCAAAGGGAGTAACTGAAAACTCCACAATCTTATAATTGTATAATGCTATTATGAATCTTGATTACTATTATTTGTATTCCTATAGAACTCGAAATATGTTTTTCATTTAAAAAACTGAAACCTGCAAAACATTTTTTGTTTTTGCTTTTTATGATTAAAAAGTCATATGTTTTTAGATTTTATTTTTATTATTCATTGGTGCATCATACATAATACTGGGATTTGTTGTTAAATTCTGGCACATGCACAACATATAGCAGTCTAATTTGGTCAGTTTTGTTCTCTAGTATCTCCCCTTTGCCTCCCCTCCTTCCTACACCTGGTTCTCATAAACAATTCTTTTTGTAAAACAAAAAATTATGGACTAGTATGCTAGTAATTTTCACTATATACAATGATCTGTAATTTAAGCAAAATTAAAAATGAAGTTTTCTGGCTAGGTGTAGTAGTGCATACCCATAATTCCAGCACCTCGGGAAGCTGAGGCAGGAGGATGAAGAGTTCAAAGCCAGCCTCAGCAAAAATGAGGCACTAAGCAACTCAGTTTCTAAATAAAATACAAAATAGGTCTGAGGATGTGGCTTAGTGGTCAAGAGACCCTGAGGTCAATCCCTAGTACTTCCCCTGCCCCCCAAAAAGAGAAATTTTCTTATAGATTTAACCAGTATTTTTTTATTTAAAATACCTTTTAAATAATACTATAGTTTATACTTAAATTAATGAATAGGATCTCTTCTGTTTTACACAAATGATTCAGACAATGTGTATAAACCTTCATAAATATTGGCATTTCCACATGATATTATTTTAAGTATTTCCCTGACTCGATTATGGATTATGGTATTTATCAAAAAAAAAAAAATAGAAATTTGTTGAATTTTGGAATTTTCTTGATGAAAAGCTTAGGGGTAGCATTAATTAAAAGTCCTCTATCCCTTTCCTTTACTAACACAATATCTATTTAAAATGTACTATATGTATAGCATTTCATACACATATATGTAATATATATGCCATGCATCATAGAAAAGTATTTTATATACATGATTTCATAGGGTAATACCATATAAATATTCATTTATCTCACATTTTTAATATTATGAATTATATAAAGTTCCAGAAAATTAAAGCCAAATTTAAGATACGGATTCTTCTATTTCTGTATTATGCAAGTGGTATTATTTGCCCATGTTTGATTACTTGAAAGATTATGGGGAAAAATCTATCTGAAATCTTTTTGACATTCCTTTGTTATTACAGTTATGCTTTTCTCCAAGAACTTTATCTTAGATTGCATAAGGTACCTTTGGTTACTGTTTTGTGGAAAGTGAAAATTTACAAAATTGCTGAATCCTTGGATTGAGGTTTTGCCAGTGGCAGGATTGTTGTTAGGTCATGACTAGACTCTGGCTTGCTAGAGAGCTAGAAACGCAATGCATGAGATAGCAAAAAGAGCCCGAGGTAGAAAAATTAAATATCCAGACTAAGAAATAGTTGAAAGGACTTTTAGGAACAAGGGGTATTGCAGGAGAGGAGAATGGATGATAGTGGGGCTGCCCCTACTCATTGTTTCCCTTCACAGTATTGCTCAGATGAACCTGCATTGCTCCATGAATGAACAGAACATCTCTCCAACAGGCCTAATAACCTCGTCTGTTAATAGCCACTTTAATTTAAATGATCAAACCTAAATATTTAGAGGTATTTAGAGCTTTTTTTGTATTAGTTAGTGACAACCTACCTGTAATTCTTTGTTTTTCTCTAAGTTCTCTTTCCTTAGTACTTTCTACAAAACACATTATGAAATCTATGGTAAATGTTATAGCTGAGACTTGGATGCTATTTAATTGAAGAAAAGTAGTTTGTTTTGTAGAAATAAACTGTATACAGAACATGCACATCAAGTGAGATAGGAACTCCAACACAACTTATTTCTATTTTCACATTTTAATTTCTATGCTGAATATCTTTCTGAGTATCATTTTATTTCCTTTGCTTTAATGTGGGAAAAGGAAATCCATGCTTGAAGAGGTGTCTTTCATAATATGTATAACAGGAGACTGGAGTGACCATGTTTAAGTTGGAAAAAAAGAAAC